TTATTACAAATCCTGGTGGAGTAAATGCGTTTGGAATCCCCTGGGAACTAAAAGAAGATAGAATCGTTCTGGAGTCAGTACAACCGTGCAGAACAGTTGTTACGAAAAGGAAAATCTTACACTTCATAGCATCAAATTTCGATCCACTTGGATAGATCACTTCAGTGTTGATACCACTAAAATGCTTTCTCCAGAATTTATGGAAAAAGAATCACCAGTGGGATAAAGAACTCAACGTGGATGATCAGCAATATTGGGACGTCATCATCAGTAACTGGCACAAAACAAAATTCTGCCAAGACAAATTCACTATTCGTCGTGTGAATTGCAGCTCCACGCATTTTTCGATGCATTCACAAAAGCATATGCCGCAGTGGCTTATCTTCGACAACTTTCGGCAGAGAAGTACAACCAAATATAATTATGTCGAAAGCGCGCCTCTGCCCATTACAAGGAACATCAGTTCCACGTTTGGAACTTTTAGCAGCTTCGATTGGAACAAGGTTACTCAACTTTAGCAGGAAGCAACTCAGTTTGGAAACTATTCAGTCCTACATATGGAGTGACAGCAAGTGTGTGCTGTATTGGATTAAATCAAACAAAGAAACAAGCTCGAGACTCGTCAACAACCGCTTAAAAGAAATCAAGATAGCAAGAAGCCAATGGAACCATGTCCCCACAAAGAAAAATCCGGCAGATATAGCATCCAGGGGCAGCTCATATCAGGGCACTCTCTGGTGGAAAGGACCAGCATGGTTAATAAATGAATCTGAGCAGTGGCCTTCGTGGGAGTTATCAGATATGGAAAAAGAAGCGGAAGAATCAGAAGCTGAGAAAACATCGAAGAAGAAACTGTCGACAATTTACGAGAGAAATAAGTCAGCAACAGTTAACACTGTATCGGAAAGCCCGAAAGAGCAGGTACAGCGGGTAGACGTAAGTCGATTTAGCAGATGGAAGACGAAAGTCGGTTTAGCAGGTTGCTTACCTAAAGCAATTCGTTTTATAAAAAATATTCGTAGCAAACAAAGAAACTCCACGGATTGGGAGGATTACAAGAAATCTGAATTACTTTTACTGCAACAAGCACAAACAAAAAGTATCAGTGACGAAGAGAAATGGAAATGGGAACTTGGCAGAGATGAAAATCAAATTTGGAGGTGCAATGGACGAGCCTTGCAAACCCAACTACCGCGCGAAACTAGATGTCCGATTCATCTGCAGCGAACAAATTATATAACGAAACTTATCATTCAATATTAACACGAGAGAGACCTTCACAGTGGAACCGCACACACATTGTCACAACTATGTCAAAAATATTGGATACCTCAAGGTCGCGCGGTTGTGAAACGAGCCATCAACCAGTGTGGAAAATGTCAAAGATGGAAGGCAAAGCCGTTTTGTTTACCGCCATTTCCACTGTATCCAGAAAACAGAAAGCAGAGTCTATCCTTCAAAACCACTTCAGCTTGTTGGATTTGATTATTTTGGACCAATTACCATCTCAACAGCTGACAAACGAAAGAAAAGATGGGTGTCTTTTTGCATGCCTCACCACATGAGCAGTACATTTGGAGCTCATATGGGATCTAACAACCGAAGCATTTATCAATCGTTAACGAAGATTCGTTGCTCGAAGAGAATCTCCAGACTCCATCATTTGCAACAACGCTGCACAGTTCAAGCTAGCAGCGAAGACTGCAGATGTCGGTACAAAGTACAGCAGTCAAGAAATAGAAGAGTAGAGCAATGTTCGTGCTATAAGATAGGAGTTTATTACCGAGTTTTCTCCACGGCAGGAAGGTATCTATGTACGATTAGTAGGTATAACAAAAAAAAAGCACTTAGCCAAGGAATAGGCCAACGGCTTTTAAATTAACAGTTGAGAACACTGGTCACTGAAGCAGAAGGAATCATCAATTGTAGGCCGCTGACATAACTTGAGGAAGATAACAATGACGTACTTCGGCCAATTGATTTCTTGACCCCAGGAGCCGAATTAACCATTCCAATTTGCTATCAATTTAGAAGAGGAGTTTCGGCCTATGATTACTCCACAGCTACTTCAGCAATGGAGAAATTCACTGAAGCCGTTAGAACATTTTTGGAAGTTTTGACAAGGCAGTCACTTAAGCATGTTGAGAGAACGAGTGGAAAGGAAGCATGCAAGTCCGAAGAGCACTACAAGGCGAGAGTCTCGGGGGCTAAATGAGCTAGTTATTATTGCCGAGGAAAAGCAGCCGCGAGGATTATGGAAAATGGGCATAACCACAAAATTAACTAAAGGAGGTGACGGTCATATCAGGACCGCAACAGTTCGGTTGGCAAATAGTAGGAAGTGGACCAGGTCAATCAATTTGCTCTTACCACTTGAAGTCATAAAAGAAGTTAAGAATCAAGCGATCAACGATCCAAACCTGGAAGATGACGATGAAAACGTTTTGAAGCATCAGTGTCTCAGCTATCAAAGCAACGAGAATGAGGGACCACAACAACGATGGAATATTTTGTGCTCACTAAACTTTAGACTCACTAACACCAAGCAAGTGATATTTTTAAATCGTTGTATTTGTTAATTTTATTTGGCCTCCGGAGTGTTGAGATCGGAGGTCTCAAGATGTTGCTTTGGGTCAGCAGTAAATTTTGTGAGTTTTTTTTGGGTCCTTTACGATAGGTCATTATTTTCAGAAGACCGTTCACATATAGGAGCAATATATGGCATTCATGTTTAGGAGACTGTTCATAATCATCTTTTTCCGGATCGTCAGCTAATAACGTATTAGCTACATCCAAGCTTATTCCCGTCTCCGCCCAATTCTTTTCTTTCAGTTATCATTTTCTTCATTAGGCGCCGTTAATATAGTTTGGCCGTCATGCACTGCTTGCAGAAAAGTAAGAAAAGAGGTTATGTTTTGATTTGGGTTAGCCTTGAAAATGTGCTATGGTTCGTTTTGAATATGGGCTATGGTTTGTTTTGACCTTACTTTGAATACAAGTTATGCTTTGCTCTTGTGTGTGCTTTGCAAACCTAACTCGCATTGTTGTTACTTTTCGCTTTGTTAAAACGCGTTTTGTTAATCAATTTAAATAAAGGTTTAATAACTCAAATTTGAGGTGTGGAAATCTCGCGAGAAGACGTATTATTGAACAATAAAATTCCGAACCACCGATATTCATTGTTGGAAAGTCCGGTCCAAGTTTGGATAGGAGCGAGTGGCACTGGAGAATCAACCAAAAGTCGAATATTTCATACTTTTGTGGTGCTCCTTCTTCACTTGGTGACTATTTTAGCTCATTTTATGAAAGATTTTTTAGATCGTTTTAATTCAAAATATGACTGTATAGATGCTTGCAAAAAGAAAAGCGGGAGCAGTCGTGCGGCTTAATTCAAAGGTTACGGGTGAGCGAACGGTATGCAGAATATTACCAGGCAGATAGTTTTGAACATAAATCAAGAAGCGAGTTTTGCAAATATTTCCTTTTGTTAAAATCCCACTAATGCCTCAAAAGAAAGATCTCAAAAATTTCATGATTTAGTTCTCAAAACTAAAAAAGACCAAAAAAAAATAATTTCCAAATTTTCTAAACCACAATTAGATATTCTAAATAAAGCTAAAAAATTAAAAAACCTTAAAACCCTCCAAAATGTTTCGTCTGGAAGCTTTCTAGACATGCTACAAGCATTAGATTAACAAATGCAAT